TGATAAATTCATATTACGATTAAGATATATTCTATTTTGGTAACGACGTATTAATTCGACGTAAAACTTTATTGATTTTCTTTATTTGGTTTTTATTCCGGTGTAACAGGAAATATGATAATTGCCCCTATAGTTGATTAGCTGCTGGTGTTGATAATAACATGCTGTTAATATATGATAAGCCTGTGCCGTGTATGTCTGCATACAAGTTGGAATTAATAGCAGCCGAACAATTTTTTGGCAGTCTACAATCAGTATTTGATAATAAAATAATCCATAAAGTGACTGATGTGTCATAAAATAACCTGAAATTTTCGATCATTTCAATATTTATTATTTACTTTAAATCATAGAGATAGGAAGGTAGGATTTTTTTTCAATTTTTTGTTAAACTAAAAATGAATAATTTTAATGGAAAATTTGATATTTTTTTATGAAATATTTTATACTAGAATTCTTTTGCAGTTTAAAATGTTTAAAATCCTTTACTTGGAATTATATTTATTGCTTTTTGGAAATTGTATTGGTGATTATTCAGATTGGGACACAAAATGGCAAATATTGTGTCCTGGTTTATATCCCAGAGCTTTTACAAGTTATACACCCCATGGAAATCTTTCTAGTGGGATATATACCATGCAACCTCATTTAAGTAGTATGAAACACTGTGTGGCAACATGTTGTACCAAAACCACATGTAATGTGGCTCTTATGCATAATGGTACTTGTTATCATGTACAATGTGAAAGTTCCAAAATATGTATGCCTTTATATAGAAAAGATTTGGCAAATGAAAATCCTCCAAGTATGATTCTAGTTAAACCTGTGGAAGAAGATGAAATGTGGAGTGATTTACTAGATCAGATGAATGATGATACTGGGTGAGATTTCATATAGAATTTTTTATTATTACTTTATTTCATTAATATTTATTTTAATACTTGTAGAGGGTTTCTTATGGATGGTACAGAAGGAGATCATATTCTTTTTGGTGGATCAAGTTGTATTACTCAAACGAATTGTTTAGAACATGAAATTTGTGTAAAATCTGAAGATAAATCTGATATTGGAATTTGTCAATGTTCTAATGGATTTAAACGCAATATGGCAGGTAATTATATTATCATTTATTAAATACCTTGAAAATTTTTTAATTTATACAATTTATAATTTATAAATTATAATAGGAATTTGCACTTTGGTGGAAGACATAGAACTTGGTGTAACACCACAAATGAAAGCACAAAATATAAAAGATTCTAGTACATCTATAAAACCACCAATAAAAAGGTTATTAGTTTCTGTTGTTTCAAAAGAAGTACGCTTACCAGAGAATGAAGTAACATTATCTGCCTATACTGTACCAGCAGAACAAAAAAATGAACATTATAATTATGCTTGGAGTCTTTTAAGTCAACCAGATGGTCATACTGGTATAATGACTAATCAAAATCGTATGACTGTAAAATTAAGTAACTTATCTGAGGGTTTATATACTTTTAAAGTAACAGTAAATGGCCCAAATGCTTATGGTGAGGCATATGCAAACGTTAGTGTTTTGCCACGTAAGTTCTTTTATTATATTTTATTTTATCTTTTACTATTTATATTTTTTTAAAATTATAATTATTATAATTTCATAATTTGGTATTATTTATAGCTAAAAGGATAAATCAAGCTCCAATTGCAATAATTTCACCTGCTTCACAAGTTGTAAAATTACCAAATACAGGGGCTGTGTTGGACGGTTCGTCAAGTAAAGATGATGATCGTATTACTTCTTATCGTTGGGAATTACAACAAGGTCCTATTGGATATCATCCTAATCTAGTTGATACACCTACTTTACAATTAGATAATCTTATCCCTGGCAATTATACTTTTAAGTTAGTATTGAGAGTTAGCATTTTATTGTCTATTTCTAAAAATATTAAAAAAATGATATTAATATCTTAAATTTTTTTCAGATTAACAGTTGAAGATTCCAATCATATTACTAATTCTACGAGTGCTAATATAACAGTTTTAAAAGTAACTGATTATCCTCCTAGCGCAAATGCTGGCCAAGATATTATTATATATTTACCCCAAAATACATTAACACTTAATGGTAACTTAAGTACAGATGATCATGGAATAGCAAATTGGGAATGGACAAAAAGTCCTTCAGATCAAAACAAAGCAGTAGATATGCAAAATACGAGAACACCATATTTACAATTATCTAATTTGGAAGAAGGAATGTATACATTTGTGCTAAAAGTAACAGATGATTCAGAACAATCTTCTATAGCCGAGATTCATGTATTTGTGAAACCACCAACTAATAAACCACCAAAAGGTAATTAAAGGATTTTTATTATTTTCACTTTCTAAAAAATTGATTTTATATTACGTAATTTTAAATAGCTGATGCTGGCGAAGATATAACTATAGCGTTACCCGAAACAAAAACTGTACTTGATGGTCGTAAAAGTAAAGATGATATTAAGATTGTATCATATCATTGGGAGCAAATGAGGTAAATTTAAGTTTATATATTAATTATTATATATTATATATTATAAGTTTATATATTAGTTTATTTAATTATTATATCTAATAATGCATTAATGATATTAAATTTTATTGAACAGTGGGCCAAATAATGCTGAATTCTCAGCAATGAATGAGTCAGTTACGAATATAACGAAATTAACAAAGGGTGATTACGAATTTAAGTTAACTGTAATTGACGATAATGGAAATAAAGATTCAGATGCTGTTAAAGTAAAAGTTACCCAAAGTATGGATAGAATTTTATCCAATATTTTACAAATTAAACATTTGTAATTATACAGTTAATAAAAAATTAATTTTATTATATAGATAAAAATGCTCCTCCAAAAGCAAATGCAGGTGGAGATCAAGTTGTTATAGCACCTATTAGTGCATTAATTATTAATGGATCTCGATCAATTGACGATTTAAGAATTAGTGAATGGATGTGGACAAGAGATCCATCTAGTCTTGCTATAGGTACTATAGTTCAAAATACTGACAAATCGCCAATTTTAATGGTAATATTTAATAATAATATTTAATATATATAAATATAAAAATTATAAATATTCTTAAAGAGTATATTTAAATTTCATTCTTAGCTGACAGATATTGTACCAGGCAGATACGTTTTCAGACTAAAAGTAATGGATGATCAAGGTCTTAATAGTGAGGATACTGTATCTGTGATAGTAAAACCAGGTAAGTTAAGAAAAGAATAAAACAAAAAAAAATATTTTAACAAAAATTTATTATTATATATATATATTTTTATAGATCCTCAATTATTGCATTTAGTTGAATTAACGTTGAATATCGGAGCAAATATGTTAACAGTATCGCAAAAAAATTCATTAGTATTAAAATTACAAATGTTACTACGAGATGAAGCATCAATTATTGTTCGAAATTTAAGAGCAGAACCACATACTGGTAGAGCTGTTTTAATATTTTATGTTGAAAAAAAAGGAAAAGTCACTATGCATGGACCAGAAGTAGTTAAACGATTAAAAGAAAAATTAAGACAAGATTCAGGTCTTCTTCAATTATCTGTGGCAAATATTGATACTGCTGTATGTCAAAATAATTGTTCAGGTATGTCAATGTTTTATATTATATATTATATTATAAACAATTTGTTATACAAAATTTATCCTTAATAAATAGGTCATGGAGTATGTGATCAAGAAACAAGATTATGTATGTGTGAAGCATTTTGGATGCAAAATTTAATACAGAAATATTTTGGTAATGGTGACTCTAATTGTGGTATGTGTAAAATAAATATAACAATTTTGATACGAAAATATCAATTAATATAAAATAAGCTAACTTGGAATCATATATTTTTTTCAGATTGGAGTATTCTTTATGTAATAATAGCATTACTGTCTCTAGTCGTGTGTTGGGTTGGTCTTATTTGGGGTCTTGTTTGTTTGTGTCAAAGAATATGTATAGGTAAACGTCGTTCACTTCGTACTAAAAAAAAACCACCACGATATTCTCTTTTGCAACCAGAACCAGAAGACGAAACCAACACATGTATGGTATCATTTTTTTAATTGAATTTCAAAATAATATTGATTGATGGAACTTTATAATTATTTTTTCTTATCGTTTTTTTTAGTTTCAACTCACAAAATGGTATTATCCGAATCAGATACGGACTCTGACGATGTCTTATTCGAACACCGCAAAGCGAAAAATAGCAGTCAAGTAAGAAATGGTAAATCTCGAAATGGCTTTATTAAAGTGGGTTCTAGAGTGAAAACATGAGGTAACAGCTACACTTGTTGTTGAAATCAATCATTCTTTAAGTAAATTGTAATTTAATTATAATTTCAGGAATATATAAAATATAAAATCTCGTTAAATGACGCACATCCGTATATGTTTGGCCAAAAAGAAAAACGAAAAAAAGCGTAAAATACTAGTCAGTTACAGGGCTGTAATTTTAAGTATGTACTTAACAAGAAAAATATGATTTCTCAAACAGAAGTTGTCACTTGTAAAAAGAATTTAGACGTACTTAAGTATTGATTAGAGAAATAAGAAAACACGTTCACTTCATTGCATCTTGTTTGATTTATTTGAAATAATACATATATTTATTAATATTATGCACTTGTATTTGAAACTTATTATATATAATTATACTGCTCGTATACATGCGAGCGGTACTATAGCACAATGATCAAATTTGATTTGATTACGGCCTTAGAAAATAATCGGAATTAATATTTATATAAAATAATCATTTCTTGTATCCATATATCCCTTGTATGTAATATTTGCTCTTTAATATATATATCATCGATCTTATTTTTACACTGCATATGAATAAATAATAAAATTTATTGTCTATATAATTAAAGTAGTAATTAATTTCACATTTTTTTTTTAATTGAAATTGTATTTAAATATTTTTTAGCAATTATTTCTTATTTTTATATTTTATATTTCATTATAATTATAAATATATATAACTTAAGTAATAAGAAATAATTTTAAGTTTAATATAAAGCTATGATTTAGTTTTGCCTGTACTCACTTAATGTTATTTTTAACTTTACGTCACGCTATTAACGTAACGTTAATAGTAAGCGCAAAGTAGTGCAAAAGATACTACGAATTTATTCGTAAAGTAAGTTTTTATTTGCTTTTTTATTAAATAATCTATTAAAAATTTAATTTTATTAATTAATAAATTAGTTTAATGATGTTATGGACTTCGTTAAATGCTCGAAATATAAAAAAGTTGTTGCAGCGAAAAGTCGTCAATGAATAGTTATAATGAAAATAATGAATTTCATAATAAAGATTGCATGTTTTTCGAGCAAAGAAATAAATTTCAAAATACTAATTCTGTTATTAATGTAAAATCATTATATTCTGTTAAAAATAAATGGTAAATGTTATTTTTAATATTATTTAAAAATTAATAAATTAATAAAAAATATTTATAAGAATTAATAATTTTTTATAAGAAAAGCTAATTTTAATTTAGTTTAATTTTGTTTATTTAGTTATGATAATTATTCAAAGCTGCATTTATCATGGACAAATAAAACAAATTCTGTACAATTTTTTAAATTACCTTATGATATTCAAATAAGTGATAAAGATACACAAAATAAATTTTTTTCTTCCCTGGAGCAAGATAAAGATTTTCAATGTCCTAGATGTAATCAAAGTATGCAGGAACCTAGATTACTTCCTTGCTTGCATCCTATATGTTCATTATGTATTTCAGAATTAATGAATATGTGTAAGTGATTTAAAATTAGAATTTTAATTTTCTTAAAAATTGGTCTTATAATATTTTCTTTTATATTTGTAGCATTTCCTAAATTTTCAAAAGATATTAAAATCCAAAATTTTCAATTGAAAACTAGTGAAAGTAATTATTATGAAACTTGTCCTTTGTGTGATTTTCAATTACCAAATGCTAATTCGGCAATTCCACCTCCACATTATCTCCTTCAACATCGTTTAATAATGAATGCTATCCATTCTAAATTTGCAAATAAAATACTTTGTGACATTTGCAAAGATGAAGTTGTTGTAAGTATCATTTGATATTATATTAATTTAAAATAAGCATCAATTTAAAATAAATTTTTAAATATTTTATAAATATATTATTTTTAATATAATTTATTTTAAGGCAGTGGTTCAGTGTTCCACATGTCTTCACAATTTTTGTTTGGATTGTGGTATAGAACATCAACAACAAATTACAATGGAATTTAAATCATTAAAACATTCATTAAGACCGTTATGGCAAGCTACAAAAATACGACGTACTGTACTTTGTCAAGAACATCCTACACATGCCTTACATTTTTATTGTATTGCATGTCAACAGGTTTATAATTTGCTCTTTTAATTAACATTTTTCTATTTGAATATCATTTTTTAAACATATTTTTCAGGTATCCTGTGAAGAATGCATATGGAGCAATCAACACAGAGGTCATGCAAGTGAATATGCTATTGAAGCTGCAAAACAAGTTATTTGGTATTTAACAAAAATGCTTCAAAAAGCAAAAATACTTTTAAATATGCTTTTAACTCAATATGATCAAGATGCATTTTTAAATACTTCTGAAGAAATAAAGAATATTTTCATTTCAATGAATTATAGGTATATCAAATATAATTTTTTTCTAGTTATTTATTAGATAAAATAATTATAAACGTATAAACGATATAAACGTATATTAAAAAATATACGTAATATATAACGATTATAAATATTTTAAAATTAAACGTATGTTATCATAATAAGAAAATTTTAAACATATATATAGATAATATGAATTATCATGTGATGATTATTATTAAAAAAATCAAAAAATTTAATCAAAAATATTTTAAAACTGTCATTTGAGGTACAATTTATTAATATACTATTGTAGTATATTATAAATATACTAATTATAAATATTATACTAACTATAAGATATTATAAGATACTAATTATAAGATATATATATATATATATATATATATATATATATATATATATATATATATA